ACTGCTACTGCTACTGCTATTGCTACTGTTACTGTTACTACTACTACTACTACTACTACTGCTACTGCTACTGCTACTGCTACTACTACTGCTACTACTACTACTACTACTACTACTACTACGACGACGACGACGACGACGACGACGACGACGACGACGACGACGACGACGACGACGACTACTACTACTACTACTACTACTGCTACTACTATGACTACGACTACGACTACGACGACGACTACTACTACTACTACTACTACTACTACTACTACTACTACTACTAATACTACTACTACTACTACTACTACTACTACTACTACGACGACTACTACTGCTACTACTACTACTACTACTACTACTACTACTACTACTACTACTACTACTACTACTACTACTACTACTACTACTACTACTACTACTACTACGATAAGCTGCCCACTAACGATTGGACTTCTCTCGTATGGATTTGCGTCGGCTTCCAGAAGGCTAACGATTTAGGTCACAACTTCTGATTCGGACAGCCGGGGGCCGTCATCAAGGTGAAGACCATACCTCCTCCGTGCTTCTTGTACGCAGCGCGGGATGGATACAATGTCCACCGAACATGGTCACACCATTTCCAGACGAGGTGGTGCGAGCCCCCGTTCCACGTTACCCCTGCGCGCATACAGGGGGGCCGGTTCGGGCCATAGCCAGAGCAGCTCCGCCGTCATATTCCCGCGCTGCGTCGGCGAAAGCTGACTCACCTTCTGCCGCTGCGTCGACGAAAATAGACGCACCTCCTGCCGCTGCGTCGGCGCAAGCTGACGCTTACGTGGACCTCGCTCTGTCTGATCGCCGGGATCCTGGCCAGATACCTACCTTCGAGGGTAGGGAGGTTGTACGAGGTGACGCCGCATACAGCGCACACATCAGTCTGCCACGAATCTTTCTGAGGCCGTGCAGAGGATAATGCGGCCTCCAGAAGACGCGCGGCGGTCACTTTTCCCAGAGTTCCCGCGTTTCGGAGGCTGGCATGGGTTCCGTCAAGCACTAGCGGTGAACCAAAACAACGCCCGCCTTTCATCGTTGAAGGCCGAAGCGCCTAGGCAACGGCTGCGACGATTGAGACAGTGGATGCCACCGAGGTGGAGGGGTGGGCGGGGGGCAGCGGGGCGACCGAATCGGCGGCTGCAGTCGCGGGCGGCCGCATTTCACTCGCGATGGCTCACAGCTGCGGAAGAAGGCGTGGGAAGGGAAGAAGCGAGGGAGGGGGGGGAGAAGGAGGGGCGCGCGGGAAAGGTGACGAGGCGGGGAAAGACACAGCGCGGGCAAGAGGGGGACTACACGGCAGAGCGCGGAGAACGCGGGCAAACTCTGGCGCCAGTTTTTGCCCACGTGAGGGCCCAGGATCCAAAAGCCGGGGCCAGTTTTCCAGGATGCCCGGGCGCGTCCTTGCAGGGGGCCAGCCCCAGATCGCGCGGCAGGGGGCGCCAAATCCTTCTTGTGTCGCGCGGGTTCTGCCTGGAAGGAATGCGCGCGTAGAAAGTTGGAGATCGAACCCCCTCGGCCGCGCGAGAGCATTGCCCTGGCACCATCCCAGCCGAACGGCTACGGGGGTCCACCGAGCGGAGGGGGGAAGCGCGCCAGAGAGAGGATTATTGTTTTATATATATATATATATACATATATATACATATACATATATATATATATATATGTATATATACACATATATATATATAGTGGCTAGCAAGAGGATCAATCGCCAGGGCCACGTGGTCCAACTGGCCAGAAGCTCGGCCGCGCAGGTGCTGCCGTGCTCTGCAACGCACCTACGCGAACTGCTCCGCGCGCCGCAGCGCAAGCAGGCAGGACGCCGCTACGTCGCGTCGCGCGAAGGTGGCTCGCGCAGCAGCTCGCGCGCACTGCAGGGCTGCGCTGGTGCCGACAGCAGCCCCTGCGCCGTGACCTTCGGCTCGGTGCCTTTTATTTCACTGGCGTGGCCGAGAAAGAACAGCAGCTCGTCGATGTGTGCTTCAAAAATTGGGCGAGTGGCGTGCATGACTACTCTGCCCTGCCTTTTTGTCCTGTGGCTGTAGCGGCAAAGTCTACTTCGGCGAGTTGGAGAACGTAAAATCCAAACTAGGTTGGGCGAAATCCCCCGAAATCTCAGCGAACGGGGGCTCTGCCGACGCGCGTCGCGTCTACGCCCTGATAAATAAACTCCGACAAGACAGCCTGGTGGAGAGCGTCGCGAGAGTCGACCATTGACTTGTGAGCGCTACGACGAAGGCCGTGAAAAACATTCCTAATGCCATGCGGCCCGCGCCCCGAAGGAACATGAAAGCGAACCGGTTCTTTCCTCGAGCCGTGCAATTCCCCAAAAAGCAAAGAAAGAGCAATTGTGTTTGCACGCCGTCGTCCTTCCTGCACACAGGGGATGGGTAACCTTGGCGGTACCACTTCCTCAAACCTCAACGCGTTTGGACCACGCACGACCGACTCATGAAATAGACCGTTCATTGCACATTGCTGTTAGGACACTTGGATATATGTACTCTTGCTCGGGTGCCGTCCGCAGTCGACAGGTAGCCTTTGGAACGTTTGCCGAAACGAGTTGCGACCCCTTAACAGAAATAGGACGCGCCGTCGGGCTGACGCCACATGGCCTGCGCTTTGGAGCCGCGAGCCCCGCCCGCGCCCTGCCCCCTTTGCGGACGCGGCGACGCGCGCGAGCGGCACGCGCGCGAGGCAGCGACACCATGTACGGAGACACTGCAGCAAGAGGCAGGGCGGGAGAATGGACGAGGCAGCGGCGTCGGCTGCGCTCCAGACGACGCCCCGAACGGCAGCCGCCCAAAGCGCCATTGGACAGCACCCCCTGCAACAGACGGCCAAGAGCGGCGCGCGGTGAGAGGGAGCAGTGGGAGGGGAGGGAGGAGCGGGCCAGGGAGGGGACAGTGAAGAAAGGGATTGATATGCAAGCCCCCTGGCCCGCTCGTGATATGAACCTTTTGCGGCGGCAAGGGTGCGAATGCGGGCGTGGATCGATGCGCATGCAAGCCCGATGCGTGAAAGGCAAGGCGAGGCGGCTGCTTGCTCGCAGGCTCCACGCGCGCGCAGCATTGCAACAGGGCCACGCCGGGCCAACGCGCATGCGCAAACAACACAACACGCGTTCCCGCGGCGCGCGCGCAGAGGGAGGCAGAGAACGAACAGGAGGGGGGACAGGAAACAGAGGAGGAGGAGGAGGAGGAGCAGGAGGAGCAGGAGGAGCAGGAGAAGGAGAAGGAGGAAGAGGTGAAGGAGCAAGTTTCGTTGAGTAGAGCTCCGGACGACGCTCTCCCCCGGCCACAAGGCGCCGGCAGACAACCCCCCTGCGGCGCGATACGACGCATTGGCGGATCGCTCCCCCTCGCCGCCCAGGCCCAGAGGAGGGGGAACGCGCGGGCGCGCGTCCCTCGCCGCGCGGGCTCCCCGCTGCAGTGGTGCGGTTGGTCGCGGTCGTGGTGGCGTTGCTGGTTGCAGTGGTGGTGGTGGTGGTGGTGGTGGTGGTGGTGGTGGTGGTGGTGGTGGTGGTGGTGGTGGTGGTGGTGGTGGTTGCAGTCGTCGTGATGGTGCTGCTGGCGGCGGTACAGGTCGCAGTCGCCAGGTTGCTGTTGGTCGCCGTCGTTGTGCCGCTGGTCGCCGTCGTGCTGGTGGCTGCTGTTGGTCGTGCTCGTGGCGGTCGTGGTGCGGCTGCTGGACGCGGTCGTGGTGGCTCTTCTGGTCGCTGTCGTGTTGTCGGTGCTGCTGTTAGTAGCGGCGCGGCTCGCAAGCTCGGCGGCGCTGCAAGTCGCAGTCATGGTGCTGCTTGTTGCCGTCGTGGTGGTGGGGCTGCTTGTCGTGGTTGTGGTTTCTTTGGTGGTGCTTGTCGCCTTCGTGGTAGTGGTGGCGCTGCTGCTGGTCGCGGTCGTTGTTGTGGTCCCGTTGTGGCGGTCGCCTTGCTTGTGGCGTTGGCAGTCGCCGTCGTGGTGCTCTCGGTGGTGCTGCTCGTCGCGCTTGTGGCGCTCGGCTTAGGGGTGCTCCCTGCGCTCGTCGGGGGGCGCCCCCGTGCGGCCACGCTGGCCTGGGTGCCGAACAGTGCGTTAAACCACCTACGCCCAGAGGGCCAACGGCGGCAAGATGCTCAGGCCCGTGTGAAGGAGCGTGCTACG